CATCTGGGAGACGGACTGTACCCCTACTAACAATAGGGGCATGTGTTCCATCTGCTAACTGAACCTGTGTATGTAATGGCTCGTCAAAAGTGGTGAAGTGATAGGCCTCACCTGTCATGTGACCATTCGCACCCGAGTCCAACATCCAAAGGGGAGATGAACTGGCACAAGCGTGAAAGACACGAGATATACCTGTAGTGGTGACAGCAGCAGTAGTCAGACTCTGAGAAGTCAGAGCAGACATAAGTATATCTAATCGGGAAGTGATAGCATCCATATCACTTTGCCAAGGAGTAGCAGGAGTGGCGGTAGTGGGCGGTGGTACCTCAGCAATAGCAACAGTACGGCTGCGAGAAGGTGGCTTAAGCTCTGGATGGAGCTTCCAGCAAGTAGCCCTGAGATGTCCTGGTCGGCCACAATAATCACATTGACGGGAATCCCCCCGTCTGCGCTGATCTGGGGCGCCCTGACGGCGCTGGTCTGAGCGTTGCCTATCCCTGACTAAGGATCCTGAACGGGACCCTACAGCAGCTGCAAGGGCCATCTGGTCAATCGAAGGAGGCAAAGCTGCAACTGGAAGTGATGCAATACGGACTCGACGCTCATGCTGCTCAATCATCCCATACACCTCATAAAGAGAAGGAAGTGTCAACATCGACAAGATCTGAGAACGAGGTCCCTCAAACTCATCACGAAGCCCCATAAGGAACTTGTGAATCCTATCCTCCTGCTCTCGAGTATGCAAGAATGCTGCTCCCTCGGGCTCTATCTTCGGAATAGCAGCAAGAGGACGTAGAGACTCATACTCAAGCCAGCGCTGGGTCAAATAGCCATAATAATCCTGAACAGTCATATCTCCCTGCCGAGCATATGAGAGCTCCTGAGAAAGCTCATAAACATGAACTCCTCGTCCTGACTGAGAATACATCTTTGATAATGCGCTCCATAGCTTCGGAACAGAGCTATAAAACTGGTGGATCCTGCAAACAGAGGGCTCCATTGATCCAAATAACCATCCAAGAATGGCACAGTTTTTAGAGAACCATGCAGAATATCCAGGGTCGGCATCAGCTGGCTTTGGGTGAGATCCCGTCAGCCAACCAAGCTTCCCTACACGGCCTAAGAAAAGCTGGAATGAGCGTGACCACTCAGCGAAGTTACGACCATTCAACAATTGTGCCGTAACTTTTTGAGAGATCATGCCCGGTAATGCTGGTAATGCAACTGTGCTAGTAGGCACTGTATACTGGTCAAACATAAAAGTGAAAGTACCCATAGATGTCTCAACGGTAGAGGTGTCAACAGTAGGGTTCTCAAGTCCCTCAGTAGTAGCCATATCAACAACAATACTAGGGCACCCGTGACAGAAAAATAACTCTAAGATAAATAGAGGAATAAAATAAGGGAGAACAATATACCTCCAGTCGAACAGTAGCGACAAATAGGGAAGGTCCAAAAAGCTCCCAAATAATCAAGTCACGGTGCCCAGAAATCCAAAATATATAAATAAGTGATCTACTGCATCAAGAGCAAATCAACAACCCCTCATAAAAAATCCTAGATATAACAGTGGGTTGGGTTTAGTATATGTTTAATGGGCTGAGGCAATACTGGGCAGTGGGCTGAGGCAGTGGGCTGCTGGTTAGTGAACAATATTTAAGTTCACTAGGATACTGGGCAGTGGGCTGAGGCAGTGGGCTGCTGGTTAGTGAACAATATTTAAGTTCACTAGTGAACAATATTTTAGTGAACAATATTTAGGCCGGAGAATTTTGGTGGTCTGTGGGCAGTCGGTGCTGCTTCGTTGGTTAGACGGAGTGAGGTATGTCGTTGGACTTTAGTTTTTAGGGTTGTCGCTGGACGGGGTCAATGGGTGATCATTAAGGTTGCTGGGTATTTTAGGATTGAGGCAGAGGGTTGATTTGTCGGTGATGGGCAGTCGCCTGGTCTGGTTCGGTGTTCGGTGATTGAGTGGTTTCGCTGGGCAGTCGATGTCAGGGATTGAGACGACTTCGCTGGTTTGGGTTTGGGCAGTCGATGATTGTTTGAGTGGTGGCTGTTTGGTGTGGTTGCTGGGTGGACGGAGTGGGATGCTTGCTGGCTGTCGGTGCTACTGGACAGTGTGGTGGTTGATGGCTGGTTACTGTTGCAATGTGAAGGAGGAGCAGCGGCTGGGTCTGTTTGGTTATGACGATTGGCGGAGGTTAGGGTTAGGGTTAGTGGCTCTGATACCAACTTGAGATAGTTGTGAATGAAAAGGGATCCTCAAATTAAGAGTAGAACCCCGTATATATATCCAAAAATAATACAGTGTGACTTAAACATCCTTGTAGTTTAGGCAAAATATAAAAATCATAGTAAGAGTAAAAAAGGGAAAAGAAATTCTAATAAACCTAGACTATCTATACTCCAACAGAATCCTCAGTGTCGCTTTCGCTTTGATTTGATTTTGATCGTTGACTTCTCAGTCTAGAATCAATATTTCATTATTAAAATAATGGTGATTACTCATTTTTTTTCTATATGCATGATAATTTGTACTTCAGTCAAAATCACAAAAAAGTTCACTAAGCCTTATTTTTTATTATGTGGCAATTTCTAGGCATGAAGCAGAATTTATCAAGAAAATTGTTAAAGTGATTAAAGCTAAATTCAAACGGACAGCCTTGCATACGGAACCATGCCTAATTGGGATGCACACTCGAGTAAAACACATAAATTCGTGGGTACAAGATGGGTCAAGCAATGTTGGCATTGCTGTGATTTCTGGAATAGGGGGAATTGGGAAGACCACCATAGCCAAATCTGTTTACAACTCAAATTTTGAGAGATTTGAATATAGTAACTTTTTGCGGTTAGAGAATTTGCAAAAAAAATCTAATGACCTTGGCCTTGTTGAGTTTCAAAAAAAGCTTATTTATGATTTGCTAAATCAAAATATGGAACAGAGGTTGAGTATTGATGAAAGAATTATTAAGGTCAAAAAGTCTATAGCTACTAAAAAAGCCCTGATTGTTTTCGATGATGTATATGAAGAAGAACAAGTATATGCACTGGTTGGAATGCAAGACTGGTTTTTTCCGGGGAGTAAAATCATCATAACTACCAGGCTTGAGTACTTGGTGAAGGCTCCTAAAATCTATATGTATTAGGTGGAAGAGTTGAATTACGATCAATCGCTTCAGCTCTTCAGCTTCCATGCATTTGGACAAGACCATCCAACTGAAAGTTATAAAGATCTCACAAAAAGGATAGTAAACTATTGTGCGGGTCTTCCGTTAGCTCTCAAAGTTTTGGGGTCTTCTCTATTTGGAAAAAGTGTTGATTGTTGGAAAAGTAAAGCAGATAGACTTGAAAAAATTCCTGAAAGTCAAATTTTGGAGAAACTTAAAATTAGTTATGAGTTGTTGATGAATGAACACGACCAAAACTTATTCCTCCATATTGCTTGTTTTTTTGTTGGGAGAGAAAAAAAGAACACTACTGTGATATTGGATGGATGCAATTTCCACACCAAAGATGGAATTGAAAATCTGGTGGAGAGTTGCATCTTAACGATTGATGAATGTGACAAGCTAAGCATGCATCAATTGCTTCGTGATATGGGAAGGGAAATTGTATGCCAAGAGTCGACCGGTGATCCTGAGAAACGTAGCAGACTATGGCAGTGTGATGCCATTGATGTGCTGATTGAAAAAATTGTAAGGAACATTCTCCTCAAGTGATATTTTCATTTGTATCCTTTCTCATTAACTCTCTCTCTCTCTCTCTCTCTCTCTCTCTTTCATTATCAGGGCACAGAAACTATCGAAGGCCTTGCTGTCGACATGCATATATTCCGGGGAGATAAGCTAGCTAGAACATTCTCTACCATTAATAAGGCAAGCAAATACCATTATGATGAACTTCTTGACAAACAATTGTCATCAGATCAAGGGAATTCAGATGAGGTGGCCTTGGAAATTGACACATTTGCCAGGATGCGCAAACTGAAACTGCTCCAACTCAACTATGTGCACTTTAATGACAATGGATGCTATGAAGAATTTCCCAAAAAACTAAGATGGTTATGTTGGCATGGCTTCAATCTTAAATATATACCTTGTAATTTTCCCTTGCAGGGCTTGGTGGCTCTTGAGTTACAATATAGCAGCTTGGAACAAGTTTGGATGGAAACCAAGGTACTCATTTTTCTTCTTCTTCATTAATTTCTTCAGGAAATTAATCATTTGTGTGTGTAAATTAAGTTTCCATTTTTTTTCCCTTTTCTTCTTTTACAGTTTCTTCCATCATTGAAAATCTTTGATCTCAGTCATTCCCATAATCTTTTCAGAACTCCAGACATCTCGACGCTCCCTAATCTTGAGACACTGATTCTTGAAGATTGTAAAAATTTAGTGGAAGTTCACGAATCCATTGGAAATGCAAGGCAGCTTGTCGTATTGAATCTGAAAGATTGTAAAAAACTGCAGAGACTTCCAATAAGCATTACTAAGCTAAAATGTCTTGAAACACTCATTATTTCTGGTTGTTCAAATTTTAGTAAGTTTCCGGCAGAATTAAGGGAGATGGACTCTTTAAAAGTGCTTCACGCTGATGGGATTGCTATAGATAGATTACTCCCTTTCACTTGGGAGGTTGAATCACAGCATGCGTTTGATTGTTCTGAAGTTTTGAAGCCGAGAACAAATCCAGAAATTTCATGGGCATCTTTACCAAGCTCTTTGGTAAGCTTGAGTCTTGAAGGCTGCAATCTTTCTGATGAAGTTTTTCCCAGAGATTATAATAATCTATCTTCACTAGAGCACTTAAATCTAAGCAATAATCCAATTACAAGGCTACCAAATTGCGTCAAAAGTCTTAGAAAGATCCAGAACCTTGAATTTCGACGGTGTACACGGCTTCGATTGCTTGAAGGAGTCCCAATTGTGAAAAGCCTGGATATCTCAGATTGCCCATCAGTGGAGAAAATAACATTTTGGTCAGCTTTGCTATGGAGTATGGAATCGACGGCGCCCCAGTTCCTTGGGCTGCGGGACAGCTTCATATTAGAACCGATAGAAAGAGTTGATGAGGACACAATCAACGTTTTGGGCTTGCAAAACTTGGTGAAAATGGCAAACTTTGAGCTGTGTCACGCAAAGATCTTGACCATCCAGGTCTCTCTCTCTCTCTCTCTCTCTCTCTCTCTGTGGTATGTGCAGCACATAGTTACAAATATGATCTCCGTGGCACAGGTATTGCGTGAATATTGTATAGACAACGTATTTTTTTCTGGGAGAAAGGTTCCTGGGGTGTATAGCCATAAAAATGACGGGTCCTCAATATCTTTTACCGTGCCTTCACGTCCAGGATTTAGGGTGCAGGGCCTGAACTTGTGCTCTGTATATTTTCGACACGACTTCGAACGCAACGCATATCGCGATCAAAGAGCTACGTTACCTCAAGCGTTAGTTATCAAAATCAATAATAAGACCAAGCGTTTCAAATGGATCTATGGTCCATTGTGGTTCGTCGTCCCACCAGATGGTGGAAATATGATATATTCAAGCAATTGGGGACTTGGGGATCACTTGGAAGCTGGCGATGAGGTATGTGTTTCAGTAGGTACTGGTCTTGATTTTCATGTGAAGCAGTGCGGTATCCACCTTGTGTTCGAGCCAGAAGAAGAGGATGTTGCTACCCGACAAAAGAAGTACGGCGTGTTCTATCCTTGTGCTCCCTATGACACTGAAGACGTTTCAGAATTTGAGAAAACATCAGGAGTACATTTCCTAAGCGACAGACCATCGTCATTTATTTATGGCTCGCCTACTTTAGGTAACTATGACTGCTTATTCGGGGATAGCTTCTCATTTGATTTAATTTCAACTGTTACAAAAAAAAAAAGGGAAATTACACTGTCACCCCTTAATTATGACTCTTTGTTCACATTACCCCTCCAACTATGATATTTTTCATATTCTACCCTCAACTATGTGATGAATTTCATATCGTCCCAATTAAAGTCCGTTATCAATTTAACGGAAGATTGTTTCACTTTGCCCCTCAAACTATGTTTTTTTTTAAATTTGCTCCCGACAGTTGGAAAATTTCATCTAAAAAGATAATGATCATTTGTATTTGGGGCAATGTGACCCAATTCAAGTAGTTGAGGGAACATTGTGTAAAATTCAATAGTTCAAGGGCCAAAGAAAAAATGAGTCCATAGTTTAGAGAGCCACAGTATTTACCCAACGAAAGGCATACTGAAAAACTTAGAAATGGGTATTTTTTTTTTTCTTTCTGAATACTGAAAAAACATATATATATATATATATATATATATATATATATATATATATATATATATATATAGATGTCTTCACATATGTTCTCGCTCATTTCTATCACATCAACATTTTCTATCACAAGTTACATTATTTAATTTTTAATAATTTATAATTCAATACAATTTTTATTTCAAACATTGTTTATACAAGATAATGTACACATGTTGACTTAATATGCATATTTAATAATCATAATTATTGATTTCACTGTAAGTCCTAATATTTATTTGGATGTATTATCTATTTAATATAATTATGACTATCAAGTACACATTTTAAGTTATTTTTTAAGTCCACGGACACTGCTCATGTGTAATTTTGACTTTTGATGGTTAACTGTTGAAGAAAAGGACATGAAGACCATTGAAATTGGTAGGAACGGGTTGCCACCACCCAATACAATTCGCAATGTTCTCAGTACAGTTTCTGTCACCTTCCAAAGGAAGAGACTTCCAAGAAGCGAACAAAATGGTAAGAGAGGCAATCTTACCCTCTCATCGAAACTCGAAAGTCCAAGAGAATAGGCCTTTGTGTTTTTCTTTGAAAGTTGACAATGCTTTGTTTTTCAGTGATAGGTTTCTCTTATTTACCAAAGCAAGTTACAAAAAGGTCGATTTGCTCCAAGTCTTCTTCCACTGCACTTTGGAGAGGAAGGTTCTCGAACTTGAAACCCGAGACTCATTGCTCGGTTGTCATGATGAAGAAGAAGCAGAGCCAGAACAGGCCCATTCCCCATTGGATTAGCATGGGAACCTACACCCCATCAGGTACCATGCAAATCCCAGGCATTTGTGCCCTACGAAGCTAGGGTTTTGAAGTGGAATAAATGGTTGTTTCCGTTTCCAAATAAGACTTGAAATGTGGTTTTAGTTTCATGGTTAATGTTGACTTCAAATGATGGATTAGGACATAATATTGTTACTTAATGTGATTTCACTTTGTTGTTTAAAAAAATACATTTGTCCCCAACTCTCATTTTGGGCTTTGCATTGTACCAACTTATACTTAGCATTGTACCAACTTATACTTAGCATTGTACCATATAGATTTTAAGGCCTTGCTTACGTACCAAATCTCTCTCTATTGTTAAACTCGATACTTTAAATTATGGAATTCAATTACACCTCCCCCGGGTTTCAAAAAAGACGACCTTATATAGGGGCAAAACCGCACATAATGTAATTAAGATCTCTGCCGTTTTGTTCAACTATTCTCTCTCTAATATTTTTTTTTGCAGATATATACTCTCTCTCTCTCTCTCTCTCTCTCTCTCTCTCTCTCTCTGTAGTACCCCATATCAAAAATAATATAATAGGGATAATATATAATTATTAGGGATAACTCATGCGTGAAGGCACGGTAAAACTAAAAAAATCAAAATTGAATTTGAACGCAAAATAATCAAACAAAAGTTACATCGTATGTTTTTTATCTAATGGTGGAAATGGACGAAATGACTTAATTAAAAAAAATTGATAATTGAGAAACTAAATTGAGAGATTTGAAAGTTCAAGGACCAAATTGAATCATGTGACAAAATTTAGGGACAAATTATGATATTTATCCTAATATTTTTATCAATACTCCATCGAAGCACAATTAATGAAACTTTTTGGCTTAGTGAACAAAATCAATCAGGAGTCAACTACTTGAACTCTTTACCAAAGCACAAAATATAAGTTCAAACACGACAAATTAAATTCCCTACATCCCAATTATCCAACAAATAACATATTCAGTCATCGTCAAACAAATCGTATAGAAATCTAATGATAACTCGTCGTTTGGTAATAGATAAAACACTGAAAAACATAACGCAAAATTCAATTCCTATGAATTAAACATAACACAAACTGAAGGAGAAAAAACAGCTTGATCACACATACTTTGTTTAACTACCATATTCTTCATATCTTTACTTTCGGTAAGCATTCTTCGTTTCTTGGAAGATCAACTGAACATAAACCAAAGAATTCAAAATTTTATTCCGTTCAGTGGGTTACCTGAGGTATTAGATGGGCAGTCGTCAACAGTTGTCATCAATCAATACTTTGACCACTTAAATTCAAAAAAACAAATTACATTAAATCAGGAATATTCCAAATTACACAACTAACCAAACAGGAAAAGGAAAAAAAAGAACTAAAAGTCACTTACGTGATCTTTCCAAAACCATCACCACCTATAACCACTGCAACAAATGCCCAGAAGATCACAACAAAATTCAACACAATAGATTAAAACCAAAGCAAGATAGCAACAAACCATGGACAATTATGAGAACTCAACAAATAGGCATCTAAGCCTCCAATCCACAAATAGGCATCTGATGTCATCATTCATTATTCAAGGAGTCATCTAAACCTCCAACCCACTGAAACTACTTAACACAAAATAGGTAACACAATTTCATAGAAAGAAAAAGTATCACATAATTTAAGCAAGTTTAAAAAAAATTAGATAAATACCCAACTTATGCGACAAACAAATATAATTCTATATTGTTAGTTTAAGCTCTAGAACCAATGAAGAGAAATAATTCTTATGTGATAAAATATTTAGCAAAGAGAAAACAATTAACTGAGACATTTGGAACCTATGATGAGAAAGAATAAGCTTGAGTTCTCCATCCATACAAAAAAAAAATCTATTTCATACACAACGTCAACAAATTAACCAAGCAAGGAATGAAATGACAGGAGCACATATTCACAGTTAATCAATATGGGAGTAAGGAATTAAAGAAAGCGTTTCACATTCGAGCTAAATTAGCATATTCGATGTACTTATGTCTTACTTGGTGAATCAATTGGTACAAGCTATGCTGACCATTTGTTCCTGGTTCACCAAAAACAATCTCACCAGCCTCATAGGGAAGAGGCAGACCGTCAATCGATACTCCTTTCCCATTACTCTCCATACTAACCTAAATTGGGTTAAATTTGGAAGGCCTTAAGGGTATTATGATAAAGATTCCAAAATAATATTCAAGCAGAAAGCTATGTTAAGTAAACCTGTTGAATATGTGAGGCAAACTTTTCCAGGGCTTGATAGTAAGGTAAAATGGCCTGCAATAATTTGAAGCTTCAAGGTCATGGGGTGTGTAGTAAGAAGACACTGTCAGAAAATCGTCAAACGACAGAAATTAAATGTAGCATCTTACTCAATCTTGCAAGGTAACCAAGAAATGAAACATTCTATATGATCAACAAACCCAGGAGCACCTAAAGCAATGCCAATAAACAGTAAAATAAGTCATCAAAATATGTAACTAACATCCAAGGTATCTAGAAAAAAAGTTATTAAAAATAACAGAACCGAGAAATGATCATGCCATTTGGACATACAAGTATGTTTTTCTCAAATGGTGTCGAATAGAAATGTTGATCAATTCTTGAAGCTCCCTTCAGAAACCTTCAAAATAAGAACAAAATCGTTTAGGCAACTACTGACCAAAATAAAGTGAAAAGAAAATAACAAAAAATCATTGTTGCACCAACATAAAATGTTTTTGGATATTAAGCATTATGCCTTAAATTTAAGAAACTGTAACCAAAAAAAAAAAAGAATTCATATCAATCAAACAAAAAATCAATGGTAAAGTATATTATATTTCTCTCAGACATTTCAACAAACACTTGGTGTGGAGTATGTAAAATTACATGAACAACTATTCACAACAACGGTACCATACGAATGCTTGAAAAAGTGATGAGTGTTGTGGAATCAGAGAAAGAGATGAGTTGTGGAGATAGAGAAGTAGAGAGAGAGGAAAAAAGAAGCAGAGAGTTTCAGCGTGTACCTGAAATCAGTCGGGGCAGCGGAGAATTCTAACAAAGAGTCTATGCGTTATGAGCAGCAGCTGGAATTAATCAATTTGACACCGAGTGTGGGAGAGAAGATTTGCGGAACATTAGGGATTTAATCAAAGATTTGAGAATCACCGGTATAGGAAGGTGATATTTTGAATTCTTAAGATAGGATTGAATGCCAATTTTACATATTGGTATGGAAAGAGGATCACCAGTGTCAGAGGGAGAGAGATCAGTGAAAGAGCGAGAAAGATAGAATAGGATGTAGTTTTGGGAAGGAGAAACGTGATTCTTGGGAGTGGGAGAGAGAGAGAGAGGTGTGAGACAGAGAGAGGCAGAAGTGAGAGGGAGAGGTGTGAGACAGAGGTCTGTGTTGAGAGGGAAAGAAAAATTTAATACTAATTGTTGACCGTTAGATCATAATTTTTGAGATGATTTGAACCGTTTTTTATATTGAAATTACATTATCCGTTTGATGTATTTATATTTTGTCTCAAAATGATTTGAACCTCTCTTTGTCTTTTAGATTCAAACTTCGTTCTACTTTATTATATAGATTTGATTTAGCTACTGATTAAATATAAGAAAATTTGGCTATAAAAATCGTGGCTGTGAATTGGGGTGGTAACCTGACACTTAGTTTTGACCAGGACAAAGAATAAAACGTGGGCTAAAT